GTAGATAATGTTAGCCAAAGTTGTGAGAACGTTCCCTGCTAGCTGGGTAGGAGTATCAAGGAAAGCCAATGGGAGGGTTGGTTGTGCCATCACTGTCATTCTTCACAATACATGGCCCTGTGCTTCTGTTTGTCGCAGGAAGGGTGTGTACATTTGGACAAGTGGGACTTGGGAGCAATGGCCTTTTGTTTTTTGGAGTAACATAATGTCGTACAAATTGGTTCTTTGTCCATAAAGACATTTTCAAACTATTGCTGTTCGAAGGCAATTCCGAACAATGGCAATGCATCTTCTGATCACTTAGCATCGTGTTCACGTCATAATTAGATTCTTTATTGTTATTATAAAAATATATAGATGTTGATGTATTAGTGGACATTTGCCCTCATCTCATTCTATGGTGAGGATAAGCAGGACACAACATGACATGTTCCATGTTGAACTATAGGATCCAATCATAGTAGCTGCATTGCACTGTCAATCTTTTCATGGTCTGACTAATAAAGCTTTTTCTCTTTGTATCCATTCTGCCTTAAACAAAGTAGTCACACTCAAGGCTTGGTTCTCAAGGAGTCACCACAGCAGTGCTTGTACCTCCACTTAGTTTACGAGGACGTGTGAATGAATTTCGCTGTACCATTTTCACTAATGCCACTAAGGTGCTGTTTACACGACAACGCAAACGGTTGTATCTGCTACTTTTCTCTTTCGTATAGCCCGTTCTTTCACACGAGGCCGTAACGCAGGGGTCGGCAACCCCTGGCAAGCGTGCCACCATTGGCACGCGGCACCGTAACCAGTGGCACACTAGGAATAAGTGCATAGGCAGCGCGTGAGGCTCAGGTTTGGGAAGGCTAAACAACTTTTTTTTTACCTGATGTTGCCCCCCTCCGGCGTAAAGAGCGAAAAGAGATCAACTCAGTAGGCTTGTTTGAGACAATCGAGACCTGCGCAATTGCGATCAACGTCTTGCTAGTGCGTTGCATGATGGTTAGTCATTTTCTCCGACTTGCTCTGGAGGCTCGCCAACATGAGACGTTGAAATCTCGCGGGACAAAGACGCCCGCAGACTTGAGAGCGAGGCGCGGCGAGGCGGCGCACTTCCTCTCCACGGGCTGCAGAACCGAAATGCTTGATGGGAAACGACTCGCTGGTATCTCGATCTGAGCGCTCATTGGTGGTTTGTAGCCCGTGCTGCTGATGAAACTCTCCAATTGGCTCGGCAAAAGTTTGTTGTTTTGTGTGTTTTACGTCGCCACTTCACATTTTTCCTCATTGTTCCACAATGTTTATCATCATGAAATTAATATCTATATATTTTATACTATACTTGCACTGCTTACCGTTTTCATACTTTATATATATCTTAGCATATTCATACACACTGTTCATACTGCTCACAGGCTGCTGTGTATATCTAGTGTATTCATACCCCTCACTGTTTATTCAT